CTTCACTGGCCAGCAAGTACGTCTCGTACACTTGACGCTTGTCTCTGCCGTGGCTCAACATACTGAAAAAGGAGAGCGACAAGTCTGACTGCGGTCATTCAGACGAGCTCATTCCTTACCGGCCATAGGGTGCGTGGCGCTTTTCAGGCTTCTTGGGGTACTGCTGGTCAGGCCTGGACACACCCATGTAGAAGGACCACTTGCGTCGGCACCTATACTGCACACGGACAAAGAACAGAGGCGGGTTGACGGGTGTCAGTGACTTGGCCAGCGGTGTGCTTACCGCTTTAAAATAGAGTACGGCTGCCCCCTCGTCCACAAGCAGGCGCCTCTTCTCCACTGCCACGTCCGGTGGCAAGTTCTTGACGTGCTCCTTGACGAGACTCTGCACGAAGGTCTCCGTCCGCGTCGTGTGCGCGGTCGACGTCGGAGTCTCGCCACGATCTGCCAACTCTCGAGCGACGTCGTCGATGGCTCCATGATGAACCACCTCCTGCTCAAAGTGGACTGGGTCCTCGCCAATCTGAAAGACAAAGAGACAAAGACAAAATTACCGCAGGCCCTCAAAACCCATCCTCCCGTCCCGTGAATCCCCCATCTAACACGAAAGCTTCCATTTACCGCTATCACATTCATGAGCACCAAACCACCCTGCGTAGACGGCACGAGGACGTCGCTCGCTATCTCCGGACTGGGCATCACCACTGCCGCTCCCTCATGGCCGTGGATAGTGAGGTCGTCTGGAAGCTGAACGGATGACGGAGGGACCGGCGGCGTGTCACCATCCTCTTGGTCGGATGCGGCCGCCGAGGAGACTGAAGGAGATCTCGAGGGCCGTCTCTTCTGTGCGCCTCTCCCCTTGCCCGGCACCCCTGTCCTCTGCGCCTTTCTCAGCAGAGGCGTCCTCCTCTCGCTCTCGCCGCCGCCCTCCTGGGCACCCCCTCTCTCCCGCCGCATGGAGACCGAGGTCTGCTTGTCCGAAGGTTGCATGGCATCCGCGCTGGAATCGGATGGCTCGACAGGATAGCTGTTGTCGTCAAAGTCGAGATCTTCGAATCCTGTCGGTGTAGCCATCTCCTCCTCTTCCCATTCCATCGGCTCATCAACAATGCTGCTCGGCCACACGTCGAGTGTTGGCCTCTCGTCGTCGTCACCAAATTCCTCCTTCGACTCCAGCTCCGCCATCCAGTCGCAAAAGTCGCATCCGCACTGGGTATCGACTTCGCCATGCATGCGGGCGTCTGGAGACGCGCCAGCTGGCAGCACCTCGTCCATGGCAGTCAGGGCACGATTTTGCTATCTGCAATGAGGGTGGTTAGCGCTCGTAGAGTCAACAGTACCAGCACACAGATCACCTGTTTGTTTCCGTGGTCCTCACGCGCCACACACTCACACACATTCTCTCATCTCCGTGAAATGAATTGAGTGAGGAGGTCACAGGAGATAGGAGCTGATTGATGATGGTGGCCATACTGGATAGGTGATAGGTGGTGTCTGGACGCAATTTGGCACGGCTGAAGTACGCTTTCCTGAACCGTATGTCGTCCCCGGTCCCTTCCGGCGCTGGAAAGGGCAGTCCCTCAACCGAAGAGGAGGCGGCCATGTTCCTGAGCCTCAGTATGGCGGAGTTTCAGAAGGAGGAGGAGTCACCCCAGACGGCCACGGGCGTTTCTGCCCGGAGCAGTGGCAGCACCACCAGCAGCGCGTACACCGTGGGCATGAAGCGCCCGCACGAGGAGGGACATGGAGAGGGTGAGGGAGAGGGTGAGGACCGGGCCAAGAAACGGCAGGAGTGCGTGGCGATGAAGGACCGCAACAACGAGGTTGAGGCTCCCCTTCTTCCCGGGTAGGGGGGAAAAGGGGAAACGGACTGGCAGAGGCACACCCCGTGTTTGTCTGGTGTTTGTTGTTGCAGCGTCAGTACCGACAAGCCACCACATCCTCGGGACCTTAATGCCGACAAGTTGACGCGGAGGGCATACTACCACGTGTGGGACACGAATCCAGAGCTGGCGTATCGGATGTACCAGCGGGGAGAAATATAGTAGTGGGGGATAGCCACAGATGTAGGCCAGCCACAGATGTAGATCGTAGAGAGAGGGAGAGGGAGGTGTGAGACCTACGAGAGAAGGGACAACCGACACAGATGGGCTTGGATTACGTTGCTTGTTAGATAGTTGAGAAGGGATGGATGGATAGGTGGCTTGGCAAGAGGGAGTAGATGGATCGGGGACAGTAAACACGGTCTCCTTCAAGTACTTGCTGTCTGACGGACCGATGTCATGCCATCATTTAAAATCTGTGCATACAGCGGCGTGCTTACTTCCATCTAAATTATCCGCCCATTGGCTTTCTCGGCATAGCAAGCACGCCTAAAAGCAAATGGCAAGCAAACTTATAACTCCTACAGCTTGTCAGGTGCTTACTGTGTGCATGTGTGTTGTCCGCCCACCCCAACACTGATGGGCGTGCGACGTTACTTACTCCACTACTGAGAACTGCCTGATGGATGGATGTTCTCTATGTGAAATGGCAGGTCAGGCAATGGCACCTTTGGCAATGGCCGGTCGTACTCATCGGCAACAATCATCTGAGTGCTCACAATCATCTGAGTGCTCACATTGCTTGCGTAGCTCAGTACAGCTCGATGCTTCTCACTCATCGAGGCCAATATGTGTCTCACCAGCTACACTAGGGTCTCGTCGGCCAGACGCATCCATTCTCCTTTTGAGGATTTCCACAATCTGGCGGGGCAGCGACTTCCCGCGGACAAGCAGTTCATCATCGCCGTCCTCCGAGCCCGCTGGACGCTTCCGTTGGTTCTGCCTAGCGTCAAGAGGGGCCCCAGCTGCAGCATCCGCGGCGGGAGACGCGTGTGCGGGCCGTGGTGGTGGAGACACAATGGGAATGGCGGCGTGGCCAGGTGGTGGAGGCGGTAAAGCAGGTGCTGCTGCCGCAGCCGCTGCTGCATCGGAAGGTGCTCCTCCCCTCCATCCGCACGTCTGTGGGTTCCGTCGTCTCCTCGGGAGAGGCCTGCCTTGGTCGTCTACCCTGTCGTCCAAACGCGATATTCCCAGCTGATGGCGACTGGCTGCGCCAGCCATTGGTGGTGAGTTGAGTGACGCTTTAGATGCAGGCAGCCAGGTGTTTGTCTGCACAGTCAATGGGGAGAAAGCAGACATGCAGGTGGTGAGTGTCTCTATACAGACTTGCGTGAGACATTTCTTGCGAACCAGAGTAAGTGTGAGGACGGTCCCTAGAAAAATATGCATCAGTGGTCAGAGGCCTTTGAGTGACGCTTCAGATGCGGCCATCCCGGTGCGTGTCTGTCAAGTCACTGCAGAGAAAGCAGCAGAGCAGATATCGGTTGTGGTCAGACAGAATTGAGTGAAGGATATCTCGCGAACCAGAGCGAGTGAGGTGATGATGTTGAGAGTGGATTGAGTCGTCTTTGACTGACGCAGATGCGCCGGGTCCGGTGAGTGTCGATGCTTTTGTTGCCGAGAACGGAGCGCTGTTGGAAGGGTGCCAGTTGAGAAGGAAGGAGAGCGAGTGAGGAGCTGCTGCTTGATGTTTATAAGGCTCTCACCTGGCCGGTTCAGTTTGGTTCACATCATCTGGATTGGCTGCTTCTCTGCAATTTTAAGGCAGCTCAACTCCCAAATGGGGGTCTGCAGGTCTAGTAGATTCTCGACTTTGTCCAATGGAACCCCGATTTGTACACCCGATTTGATCCTTCACTCCGACCGGTTAAATTTCCCTTCAGTCGGAGCGGATACAAACAACCGCCCCAGCAGCGACATAGGGGGAGCGATGTATATAGATGCCGGCAGTAGGTTGGTTCCCTTCTGCTGGCCTGCATGGAACAGCCAGCATGGAACAGCCAGGAAAAAAAACAAACAAAAAAACACGCACACACACACACACACGGGAAAAAAAAGGAAAAAACAGACAAAAAAAGAAAAATAGAAAAAAAAGAAAAAAAAGAAAAAAAAGAAAAAATGAAAAAAAGAAGAGAAAAGAAGAGGAAAGGAGAAAGAAGAAGAGGAAAGAAGAAGAGGAAAGAAGAAGAAGAAGAAGAAAAAAAAAAAAAAACCAAAAAAACCAAAAAAAAAAACCAAAAAAAAAAACACACACACACAAACAAGAAAAACACACACAATCAAAAGACAATGCATCAGAAGACAGCTCAGGGGAGAAAAGGGGAGAGCTGTTACGGAAGCCGGATGCATGAGACACAATGGAAACAGGAAGGGGAACACACTGTGTCTGATGCAAGCAGCGTGGCGGCTTTTATAGACACAAGCAGCGACTGAGCTGTCCCCGATCCGCCAAAACCGATCCCCTTGGACCCCTTTCCTTGGTGGCCACAGTGCCGCCTCGTCCCCGGACGAAGGCCTCAAGGCTCAAGCCCTGTCACCAAGGTCTCCTTGCACCACCCGTGAACGAAGACGCTACGACAGAGAGGAAGACTTTTCCCTCTTCCAACACGCCTCCGACTGAAGAATGTGTGCTTCTGTTGGAGGTGACTTGTAGGCGCGCACTCTCCGCCGCAACTCCGAGGTACGGCACCACCAACACAGGCCTCCTTCTTCGTCATCCCCGGGAGAGGTGGGAGGGAGCGGGGTGGACCTCTCCCTCGACGAAGACCTTGAAGGAGAGCAGGGAAAGCGCGGTAAATGCTGAATCGTCTCCCCGTCGCGAATTCTCGCCATCCTTTGCCGGGTGTGGAGGTGAAAAAAGAACCAATCCCTTCCGCTCACCGATCTTCCCATCTGCCTGGTTTCAGTCCATCGGCATGCTTCATAGCTACCCGCCCCGCCACCATCACCGGCACAACGGGCACGGCCCGTCTCATCACATGGGCGGGCATCAGCAGCATTACACTCACGGTCCGCCGTTCGGTGGGCGGGCCGGGCGTATCATGGAGGTGGATGTGCAGCGGCGTGTGCTGGAACTGCGGTTGGGCGGAATGATGATGGACGACGGACAGCTGGAGGAGTACTGCAGGTACCTCAGAGAGAGAGGGGAGGTTAGATGAGGATGCGCGGCAAGACGCATCTGGTTGCATGTGGTGTGGATGTGTGGGTGTGTGTAGGTGGATATCGTCTCATCTGAACAATGTACGGACTGAGTTCCGGCTGGATGTGATGGACGCCATCATAGCGACGGTAGATGTGTCGAGCAACAAGATCACGGACGCCGGCGTCAAGAGACTCACGGTGCGTCGGTGGGTGTGTGCTTGCGGGCGGATGCATGTGTGTGCATTCGTTGTGTGGGGCAGGATATGTTTGACAAGTGGCGCATCCACGCCCGTGTGCTCAAGCTGTTCAAGAACAGGATCACCGATGCTGGTACGAGGTCTCTCATACACACACACATCTATCGAAAGGATTCATGACTCGTGCGCGCATGTGTATGAGTGCATTTGCAGGTGCTAAGATGCTGGCCGAGTACGTCTGGATGAACCCCTCGCCCATCTGCGAGGTCCACCTCTCACACAACCAACTCACTGGTGCGACCACACACAATGGCAACACACACACGCACCCCTCTTATGCGCGTGTACACATTCGCCTGTCTGCCTGTCCACGTTAATTCAGAGGACGGCATGAAGATCATCATGGATACGTTCCGCAAGCACGACGCTTACCCGGGCTACATGCAACTCAACGACAAGTGAGTTTCTCACAACCACACACACCACCACACCACACCACACACAATACATGCACATCTGAGTTGGGGTGGGATCTGCCACTCAGGTTTGACATAGTGGGCCGCCGCCAGGCTCTCAAGGACGGCAGTGCCAACGGCGCCCGCAGATGGATTCCCGTGTGGCTCCGCCTCGAGAACAACCAGCCGCGCGACGTATTCTCGGGTACGCAATGCATATCTGCGTATCTGCGTATGAATGATGTATTGTCAGTGTTGGATTGGATGGACCGCAATGGTGTGACGTACTGCCTGGTGGGGCAGGAGCGCCTCTGCAACGCCTACAAGTGCCACAAGAGCGGAAACACGCGACAGCAAGGTACCCCAGCCCGACACACACACTCCCACACACAAACACTGTATTCGCGTTCCATCCACCCATCAGATATCAAGATTCACCTCGCCAAGGCGTTGTTCCCCGACCTGGAGAGCCGTGGACGCACTCGCGGCCCCCGCTACACTCCCTCCCGCATCCAGCAGCCCGCATACGTGCCCAAACCTGCTCCGGCGCCCTCGGCATCGGCCTCGCCGTCCTCATCTCCGTCGACCGCCCACACGCCGACCGCCCAGCGGTCGCCCCCTGCTGCCATGGCTATGGCCACGCGCGACTCGACGTCGTGCAACACGCCCGAGCCCGAGTGGCACCACATCGTCATGGAGGAGACCGACAAGGACGACACACACGAGGAGCAAGGGGAGGGCGCCAAGGACAACACCAACACACACAAGAAGGAGGCCCGTGATAGCGGTGCGTGAGCATCACAAGGAGGGGGAGAGATGGATGGATGGATGGACTAATCGACACTCGTGTGTGTGTGTGTGTTGTGTGGTGTGTTTCGTGTAGGTGAGTCTGGTGAGACAACTGAGGAGGTCATGGCTGCTCAGGAGGAGGGACACGATGGCCATGGCGATGAGGACGATGGTGCTGGTGATTTCGGTGTCCACGACGACACCGAAATCAGCAACAACGACGACACCACCGCTGCCGCAGTAGACGACAATGGCACCGAGTAGCCATAGATAGCATACGCATACACACATACAGGTGGGGAGGGGGGAGGGTGTCGATAGCTGGGGTGGTGAAAGAGAGGGGAATAGTGTCGTCGTGGCGTGGCGTGTTCAGAGCGGCCTCTGTTCGGTTGGCCGGCCAGCGGTGAGTTCATCGCACCGATTCTTCCTCCTGATTGGATAGCGTAGCTGTGCACTACTCCAGAGAAGCTGTGACCCACCCCTTTCGTTTTGCGCATGTCGGTTTCCCACGTCATATGCATGTCGGTCATTGGTTCCATGACCTGTGAGTGAGCGGGGCGTGAGAAGCTGGCCATCGCACCCGAGGGAAAGACAGAGAGCGCAGGAAGAGCATTTGCCATACCAGCTGTGGGTGCCTGTTGTTGGGTTGGCAGTATGGCCACTCTGCGTCAGTGCGGGGATCACAATCCCGGCTGGGCGATGGAATGGACCAGGAAGGCCGACAGAAAAGAGAGGAAATTTGGCTGCCTGCCTGGATGCCACACACATTGCTGGTGCACCGCACCCGTAGATGTACAGGTATGCACAGGGAGAGAGGGAGAGGGAGGAAGATTGGGGTGACAGAGAGCCTGCCTGGCTCTTTTTGCGTGTCGATACATACATACATACATGTGAATAAATGCACATACATACATACGGATGTGTGTCTGTGTGTAGCGCTGTGGTGACTAGCTGACTGGCTACACACAGACAGTGTGTGTATGTGTTGCTGCCGTCTTGTTGAAGCCCCATGAGGGTTAGCCCCATGAGGGTTGCCTTGCTCCTGCCTGCCTGCCCTGTCTGTCTGCCATAGGGGTGATATAGGAACTCTCCATAAGTCGTGATACAACACTAATGGCCTTCCCACGAATGGACCAAGAACAAGTTGAATGGGCGAGTTCAATCGATTGCGGCCGTCCTTTCATATGTCAGCTAGCTCGTTCATGGACGAATGGACCACGGTTGCAAGCGAGCTCAACTCGTGTCTGCACTCAACAAAAAGATAAGTATACACCAGGAAGACTCCATCCGTCCATCCTTTCATCCATCCAGCCAGGCACCAGAGCAGAACAGCAGTATAGATGAGACAGAAGTGGCTTGGCTGTAGCAAAAAAGAAAAAATCCTTTTTCTGCTGCCTGCTCTGGGTGCCTTTCTGGTCTGCTGCTGCAATGAAGCGATCCGCTGAAAAACACACGAGCGGCCTCCATGGCTGATTCCGTGTTGTTCTTCGTGTCGCGACTGAATCTTCACTCATTCAGTTCATTCATTCATTCATACCCTCACATATGTCGGGTCCATGTCAATACTCAATCACTAGCAGTACGCATGAAAGACACCCTCACTTGGCACATATCTGCCTCGCGCAGGACGACGAGGCCAATTGCGTGGGTCACGGTGGCTTTTACGTAACCAGATCTGCTGGACTAACCACACAGAGATACCCAACGACCCACATGCCTTCGTGACGTACGCAAAATTCTAAAAGCCTCATCAGACAGCCTCAAAATGTTAACTTCAAAGAAAGACAAACGATGGAAGCCAACCGACCATCGAGCCCTCAGAGTGAGCTACCGTCGGGGCTTCCTGCGTACATTTACGGCCAGGGGAGGGGGTGCCGGGGAAGAGGCCGTCGCGCAGTGATACGCCAGAGACCATTCAGTACGCATGAAATCTGGGCGAACGGCCGGGTGAGACCATTGTTCCAGAAGAGGACACTGGAGTGCTGGAATAGGGCAGGTGCTGCTAGATGGGTGCGAAGGAGGTGCTGCTGGATGGGACGGAGGCCGGCGCCAGTGGTATGTTAGAGCCTGCGGGGCCAACGGAAGGTTCGTACGTGGTCAGACACACACACAGGGAGAGAGAATCTAGTTTGTCATCAGCTTCGTCTGCGAAGGAGAGTGTGCGAGGCAGCCAGGAGTTCAGGCCCGGCCCGGCGCATGGACTTGGAGCCATTGTTGCCTTGACGTGCTTCAACTTCCCATGTGCACAGAGAGAGATGCATCATGTTGATCCGTGAGCGTTTGTCGTTTGTCCTTGCCTGTCTTTGCTGCAGACGGAATGATCTATGCCACGATTGGCGTTTATATTCTACCCTATGAGGCCCTGCGGCTATGGCCCAGCCACGAAAGCCTCATGGTCGGTCTGTCCGTGGCCCTGATTGGCCTCACGCAACTAACTTGCCCCGTTATCGGCGTCATCTCCGACAACCACGGAAAGAGGAAACCCTTCATGTTTGCAGGTAGCCCACAGACAAAGTGGGAAAGCAGGCTTCACAGTCAGTTTTTGACTGAGAAAAAGTGCGTATGAGAAGATTCCGAATTATCTCTGACACCGATACCTGCACAGGTGGTATAGTGTCGGTGTCAAGTCTCTTATTTATGTCGCTAGCGAGCCTGCTGATGGCACGTGGTTTGTGGCTGATACTCCTGGTGGTCGTGTCGTGCGGCCTGAACGTTATCTACAGGTAAGAGACACAAGGATGAATGAATTGATTCTCTCACACTAGGGTCCGATAACAGCGCGCAGACGGGCCTAATTGCTGATCAGCTCAAGGACCAGTCCAGCCGAGGAACCGTGTCAGGCGTCGTCGCCGTACACCTGCTACTCGGATCTACCCTAGGTCGATTACGGTCACGCACACCATTCACGGACACAAACAAAGTCATGCGAGAACGACATTTGTAGGTCATACGTGTATGTGGTTTGTGTGCAGGATTTTTGTTCGTTGCGTACACAACAAATTTTGACTTCCAAATTATGTACTTCACATATTGTGTGGTGATTTTCGTTTCGGTGATGCTGGTGTGCTATATGGCCGTGGAGGATTGCAGCAACGAGTGGCTCAGGGGTTCTAAACTGGCGCTAAGAGACCTCCTGCGTTCATTCACCGTCGACAGAAGTAACAACCCTGACTTTTTTTGGGTGCTCGTAGCGCGGTGAGCGGTGGTGCAGGCTGGATCGCTCTCTAATTTGTCGTCGATTCCACTGGTGGTTCTAGGACGATCTACTACGTTGGGACCAGCGGGGAGGTGAGGAATACAGAATCTCAATAAAGTCGCAGTCACATGGCGCTGGCCAGGTCTTCCTCCTGTATTATTTACGCGACATGGTGGGGACGAGCGACGAGGCGACGCAAAAATTCCAAATCTCTATCATAGCCTTGCTGGGACAGGCACACAAAATGGAGACAGAGAGAGAGACAACATACAGACATGCCTTCTTACTCTGTCTTTCGTCATTGTATGTTACTGTATGTGACTCAGTCCGCAGCAGCAGTGGTGGCTTGTCCAGCGGGTTATTTGAGCGAGCGGTCGGGAAGAAAAATCCTCGTCTACCTCGCATGCTCGCTCATGTGCTTCACGTGGGCCATGTTGATCATCATGCCATACATCTGGGTACACACAGTAGCCACGATCAGCCCCGCACATGCCCGTTTCCTTCTCCGCTCAGACGGAGGACGCGTCATACGAGTCCTATGTGCTGTGCATATACTTCTGCGCCGTCATTTACGGCATCGGTAATGGCGCATACCTATCAGTCGAGCTTGCACTTGCACTCGACTGTCTGCCCGACGGAAGGACCGCTGCAAAGGACCTCGGTCAGTCACGCCCGCCACTTGTACATGACCTCGCTGACCATTATGTGGTGTGCAGGAATCTGGAGCGCGAGTGCATTTATTGGGAGTGCTATAGGGCCGCTAATTCAGGCGTTCTCTCTCGAGCTCGTCGGCCGCCGCGGCATCGCCATTGATCACATGGACCAACCCGAGAGTTACCACTATGCCGGCTATCTTTCAGTTTTGGCATTTTCGTTTGTATCTCTATCTGTGTCTGCATTGATTATCTCCTTCATCCGACGGGTCAGATGATCGATGGACCTTATATTGAGATTGCAACTGGGCCTCCGAAAGGTTGATTTGGCCAGTGTATGCGGGTGCGGTTTGCTTCCTTTATTCGTCTGGTCACCATATGCAGACGTGTTCCAACCAAATTCTGCATACATCGTTGATAGAGCCGGCATTCCGTTTCACTGTGGACCCTTGACATTGAATAATGTGAATGCACAGACCAGTATATCAACAGCGATAATGTAATGTCTCTGTACAATCTATCAACCCAATCCATCAACCATCATGTTGATGAATTGTACAGACTGCGGGACATGCTTCTTCCTCATGGGACGCTCACTATCATCTACGGCGGGCTGCTCTGCTGCTACCCTTGCCGACAAACGTGTAGTGCCTTGACTCCACGGCCCGCCGGTGTGCGATGGCCATCTGCTTGGCCTTCTCGAAGCCAAGCTCCTTGATGGAGAAGGTCTTGGCCATGTTCTCGCCGTCATCCCGCCATTTGGCCCGCCAACTGTTGGTGCTCTTGTCGTAGGTGACGCCCCTCACGCCGCTCTGGTGCTCAGCGGGCTTCTGCACAGACGCCCGCCTGCAACGCTCCATCTCGAGACGGTGCTCCTCAGCCAACACCTGACATACACACACATACATACAGGTGCAACATGCATGGCTGACATAACAGCATGAAGTTCAGCCGATTAAG